TTGAAGATAAAATGCGTCTAGGATAGGCAGCCCTCTAAGTTTGTTTTTTGTAAGGAAGACAAGCGGGAATGTTTTAGGAGCCAACAGATATCTTAAACAGATATAGTTGCCAGTTATGTTTACTTTTAGGTAGCCAAGTGGCGAGAAGAAGATAAAGTTAGGTTACAAATCATACATTTAAGTCACATTTGGCCACCAAAATGGTCGCTACTTAGAGGGCTGATAGGGTTGCAGCAATAGAAAATGTTTTAGTCTACTAGTCCTTATAATGATAACTTATAGCAAAACCCTTAAAAATGGCAAATTTCTACTAGTCCTTATGATACATTAACTATTGGGCAGTTTGGCAAGGACTATAGGACTAGTGCCAATTTCTAATGCTGGGGTTGGCGTATTGGCATATAAATCATATTGCAATATATCCCAGTATGGAGAGCGGTATTGTGATACATATTGCAATATGTATCGGGACCCAAGTTATATATCTGATATATATTTGTACTGTTCAAATGGTACTTCTTCATTCAATAATTCAGCCTTCAGATTGTGAGATGGTTAGTATGGATAAACAAGGCTACCTATTATGTCATCAATATGGAATGTAACGCAAGCAGCGTGAAGCGTGTGCTGTTTGGATAGTGAGTGAGTTGCTTTTAACAGTATTCCAGTTATATCACGGCGTGTCAACTTAATGTGGGAGGAAAGCCCAAAGTGATGCAGGTCTCAGACAATTACCACTTCGGTGAAACCCACGAGCACGGGTATGGTGCAGACAAACCTTGAAACATAATCAGGGCGAACCTGGATTTGAACCCACAATAGTTTCTGGCGTGTGGTTTGGATAGGAACCCAGTCTATCAAATTACCTCCAGATAGTAGATATAATTTATATAATTACATATTAATTCTTCTGTGACTGGATTGGACAATATCAATACACAAGGGTTGTATTGTAATACGTGTCATGCTGATGGCCATATTGCAATATAACATTATACCTGTTATATTACACTCCCCTGTATTCATAACATCAGCTGCTAATTACAACATTGGTTTAGATCTTGACTAGAAATAGAGACTAATTATTAGACTAACTATTTTATGGTCTCTGCTGGAAATAAGCAACTTGGTTATTCCGATTGAGTCTCCCTTCTCTGCTTGACGACAGTAAGATATGAACTTGTCCTAATACGCAGATAACAATAATAATAATTTCTGTAAGTAAAGTGTTATAGATAACGTTTAACAATGTAAGATGTCTTTCTCATACACTGTGTTCCAATCTGTGAGCTAAGCAGTGACGTTGTCTGTCCTGTTGAGGAAGTCACGATGAGCGCAAGTGACTAATTACCCCGTATTCATAACTTCTGACACACTAGCCTTTAGGGCTGGGACGATACACCAACTATGCGATCCGATATGTATCAAGATACCTTATTCACGATCCCATATGTATCAGGATACTTGCATGTGCTCTTACCTGTGGTGCGTAAGCCATCTTTTTCATAGACAGGACGGCCAAATATACCTGGCACCCTGATGATTTACAGGTGGCAGTGTCAAGAATGGCACAGTGGATGAAAATATTAAGTTTTAACTATTAACTTGCACTACTGATTAGTGTTTAGTGGAACAGTTATTAAAGCAAACATTTCAGGTCAGAATGGACATCATTTAGTTAGTGTGCGACTGTGATCGATACTTGTCACGAGAAGTAAAAAATCGCTATCCACCAATGCATCGGTGTATCGTCCGACCACTACTTGCCTATGTGTCTTAAAGCAAACTCCCAAGTACCTTCAGTATCTAGAGAATGATAAACTGTTCATCAGGGTTAGAAATTAACACTAGTCGCTAGCCCTGGGCTAGTACAGATTCCTGTAGGCTAGTACAAATTTCCCAGTTTCCCCTTGTTTTAACATTACAATGGCACTTATCTATCCTTACCCGGGCTAGTGAAGCTTTGGAGTTTAGTTCTAACCCTGATGATTCATACAACCATTTCTAAAAGTACAGAAATGAAGACATTTCATCAATAAGTATATACTTAATTAATATCATATCACACTCGGAACAAAAACTTGCACAATCAGCATCAATAATTGGACTGGAATATGTACATCACCAGATACTGAGGATCAGTGTCAAAAGTGAAAAGGAAATAATTTTCCCATAATCGTCAGTGTAAGACTGCCATACTTTCACTGGAGTATGTTCCACCCAAGTGATAACAACCTTTATTACTTGCCCGTGAAGAGATCACCCGTTCAATAAACATACAGCTTTATTACACATTGTGTAATACCAAAAGGCGTGCTTATGTACTCTCGGAACACGTTTCACGAACAAATATTGAAAGCTCTCAACATCCCTTGGCGTATTCAACGACATTGTGTGTGGAGATGATAGATCACTGGGAGGAGCTTATGCACACTCGATGACCCCAGCAACCTTGTTGCTAGGCTGACGTCACATGGCATTGTTTCGCCGATGGATCTTGCAACAAAATTCCACAAATTACGTCATCGGGTATTGTGACGTGATTGTAAACTTTGAGGTGCAAGGCCCCGTTCCACAAGGCGATCGTACTCTAGCGCAACGACAGTCGTTAGTCTAAGTTAAATTATGTGAGTTGTGATAGCCTTAGCACTACGATAATTTTGTGGGACGAACGCCTGAATTCTAAAGGTGGACCATTGTATGATATTAAATTCATACGTTTCAACTTTTGACGTGTTTGAAGTATTATTCTGTTAAACTCAATTGGATTATGCCATGGATCCTGTAGGTGTCAGCCTATTTACACTCAACAGTATAATTTTAAAAACATTATAAATGACAAGTAATAAATAAAATACTAAACTCGCTCTCGTGTAAAACCAATTTTATGAAACTCGTGAATAGTTCTGGTATCTGACTCGCTTTCGCTCGTCAGATACCAGAACTATTCACTCGTTTCATAAAATTGGTATTACACGGGAGCTCGTTTAGTATTCTATATGTATCTGAAGAAGGTAAATCTGAGTGTATCAACACTCTTACATGTGGCAGAAGTGGTCCAAGCATATGGGGAAAACACATTATGTAGGAAAATGGATGAGTGAAATATGATCAACTGTATATATACACTGTATAACATATCTTATTACTATGTTCGTATGAGGAACAGAAGAAGACATCTCAACTAACAAGAGTAACAACTGTGATAAAAATGCGAAAAGATTTGGATACATCCCTCTCAGTCATAAACCATTCTTTCGTCAGTGGTGACACATTCAAACTGTCAATAGATTTACATGACAATCTAATCTAATCATAATGAACATAGGTCAATAAGTACCGTTTAGTGTAATTAACATGGATAAAATGTTTTTGCAATGATAATGAATATATAGAGGATATTTCTTGTTTCGAGTGAGTGAGTGAGTATGGTTTAACGCCGCTTTTAGCAATATTCCAGCAATATCACGGCAGGGGACACCAAAAATGCACCCATGTTGGGAATTAAACCCGGGTCTTCGGCGTGATGAGCGAACACTTTAAACACTAGGCTACCCGACCGCCCCTCCTGTTTGAGTGAAATATCATGCTTCTCTCATCGAGTGACGTCGGGAAAGGAGATATTTTCATGAGTGGCGTAGCCACAAGTGAAAAAAATATCTCCTTTTAGGACAAGCGATTTAGGGTCACGAAATTCTGTATCATACATAAAGATATTATTATATACAAAATCAAATCTAACAAAAAATATTCTTGAAAACTTTGAGGCCACTGTTGGAAGCAAAAAAATACACGCTGGTAAAGGAACAAAAATGGAGCTTTGCTAAATGAACAGTCTCGATTGACGAGTTAAATGAGAAATTTACAGTAAATAACGAAATATTTCAAGGGAATAACAAACAGCATGAAGCAATATTAACTCCATAAATAACCATCTGTCATTATTTTGCCTTGTCAATGTGGAACTTATGTAAAAAGGAAGTCAACAGATTGTGTACAGGCCAGAAAAAATAAAGGGAGACAATTCGAGGGGCAGTCACTCTTGTATGACAATACAGTAAACTACGGTTATAACGAACAGGCTTATAACGAACTGACGGATATAACGAACTTACTTTTTTGGTCCCGACTATTTGCTGTAGTTATGCTGTATATATGCTTATAACGAACTACGGTTATAACGAACTAAAATTAGTAGTCCCTTTGAGTTCGTTATAACCGTACTTTACTGTAGTTCCTTCGAAGTGATATGTTCACCGCAGTGAAATAGCAATTATTATGTTCAATGCAATGAAAATATCACTTTTCTTAAATTCGGAAAAATCAGTCTTTCACACATAGAGGTCTAAGTAAATAATAATGTATTTTGACTGAAATTTGTTACTAAGCTCAAATCATATCGAGTGGGAAGCAAACTTACTGAGGTATGTCTTACCAGTCTGCTGATGGATGAACCCTTTATGTCTCGTAACTCGAAATGTATTATGATGACCAAGATAACAACTCAAATCAAAACATAAAGGCGGTCCTGATTCCACACTACAAATCAGCTATAATAACAACATTGGTTTAGATCTTGACTGGAAATAGAGACTAATTATTGGATTATAAATAAAATTTATGGTCTCTGCTCAAAATGACCAACTTCGTCATTACGATTGAATGTCCCCCCGCATGACGACAGCTAGTGAGATATGACAATAATGATGTAATATATAAACTTGTCCTACTACGCAGATGCCTGACAATGATCATATACGTACCTGTACAACGTCTTCATAATTTCTGAATATAAAGCATTACATATAACGTTTAACAAGTAAGATGTCGTTCACATACACTGCGTTCTAATCTGTGAGCTACAACGTCAGTGACTACGCCGAAAATCGTGTTGAGGAAGTCACGACGAATCGAGTCGGAGAGATATTGTCACTGATGGGTGAAACAACATTGTCAGTGCGTAGTTTACAAATTTTATAAGGTTTACTAGATCAACTTACCTTGAAATGCGACTGTCTAATATATATCCTAAAAGATGAAATTCGTATTTCGTCTGAATTACCATTCTATCCCATGATAAGTGCACATTTTCGATGGATATACAACAGGGAACGAAATCTATGGCGAAAGGGGATTTCCCTTCTATCAGGCACACACGCAATCGGACTGGGAGCTGTCTATTACCTAACCGAGAAAATTAAGCGCTAGGATTGTTGCGCGTATCAAACATTGAACTTACCACGCGAAGGAGGAACTCTGGGTAAGCTGGTTCCCGGCTCCCTATGCGCGTCCTCAACTTGTAAGATAGCCCCGTCTCTAACGTCACAAGTTTACGACGCGCATAGGGAGCCGGGAACCAGGTTAGAACTCTGGGTACCATTCCATTCGTCACCACTCGCCCCTTTCCGTCACCTGCACCTCTCAGAACAACACGATTTGGTCACGAATGCAGTGGGTACATCAGTCGTGAACACTCGCATTTTTCCGTAACCATTAGTAACCACCTGCCCCATTCCGTAACCTGCAAGCATTTTAAATTTCACATGCCATAATGTTTATACTAACTGTACAAATCTTAATTCGGTAAAAAAGGCCGTATGCCCACGTACATAAGTTCAACAGGAGACATTTCTGCATTTTACACAAAAATGCTATGACAATCGTCATTAGGAGGAAAAGTAAAGGTAAACGGCGTGAGGTTTGTGAGAATATGCGGGGAATCCGAAAATGATTGCTTGAACATTTCATCATCATCCTTAAAGAGGCTGCACATAATGTTGATATCTCATATAAGAAATAAACGACTCGTGGTCGCTGTTTATCGAGGGAAAGTAAAATAAAACACCGCAGAATTGTTTGATAAGCATTATTTAGAAGCTGACGGATGACAAAGTAAATACACTGATGATTTATGGATAAAACTTCTTCAATACTGTCAAAGGCGACGTTTCGGTATAGATCCTTATACCATTGTCAAGCAAGATAGTCTTGACAACGGTATAAGGATCTATATACCTTTACAGTATTAAAGAAGTTGTTATCCATAAATTGTGTCTACTTTGAAAACACTGCAGGGTCAATAAACCACTCGGGGTATATTGATTTATCATGATATATATTCTCCCTGCAGTGTTTTATTGCACGATAAACACTCCTACTCGTCTTTTATTTCTTAATTATACACCCCACGGGATGATTCTCTGCTGTTTGTGTAGGTTCATGTATTAACATAACAACCCCATGCATGGGTTATCGAATAACCTGCCGTGGACTGCTTAGATACTAGCGAGGAAAAGTATAACCGTGCTTCAGATTTGTTTGTTGTTTAACGCCGTATTATTCCAGCTATATGACGGCGGTCTGTAAATTATCGAGTCTGGACCAGACATTCTAGTGATTGACATCATATGCGCATCGATCTACGCAAATGAGATACGATGACATGCAATAAACAAGTCAGCGAGTATGACTACCCGATCCATTGGTCGCCTCTTACGACAAGCATAGTCGCCTTTTAGGGCAGGTTCACACAGTGCCGATTATGGATCCCGTTTGAGATAAGACAGCGCTACGACACGAAAAGCAAAAATGTCGGATTACTATCCTCAATGATCTGGAATGTCCTATCATTGTGAATACGCAGTCGTATACGTTCGTAACAGAGTCATGCGGATGGGGAAAGGTCCAGAGAGGTCGGCCAAGCACTCCCGACGGTATATGGTGCGTCCCGTAACATTTGGGAAACTCAGCCGATTTTGTCGAGTCGGATTACAATCGTGACTATGTCGTGACAGATTCTGCTGTATCGGATCAAAATCGTATCAATGTCCTGTGTTGTCTGGACGGTGTCCTGTGGATCGGGACGCTGTCGTGATGAACGGGCATGAATTGTTCATTGCCGTTTCTTGTCGATTGAGTCAAGACTGCGTCCAGATCTTGCCAAATGCGAATCGTCGTTGTCGGTTCACTGTCCGGTCACTGTCGGATCTCTGTCGGATCTCAATCGGGACGCTGTCGGGACAGATTCGGTCGTTTTTAACCATTCGGAAGATACAAATCGGATCAGATTCGGATTGAGAACGGGAGACTCGGGACCAATTCGGCTGGAAACGGCTGAATCGGGACGCTTCCTGGTCAATATCTGATTGTTTGTGAATTTTCTGCCACGAATCACAGGATCTTGATCAGACTTTTGACAAATTTTTATCTGGAATGGCCCTATCAAGGACGGCAGTAAAAATCCTGAATGTGTGAGCCCTTACGGCAAGCATGAGTTGCTGAAGACCTACTCTATCCTCTGTCCAAATGAAGGGACGTAACGTTACGTTGCAATGTCCGCCCACATACTGCACGTGTTGTAACAGGCATTTTGAGGCATCATAACATTGCTTTAATGCCATGACCGGATGTTTGTCCAGACCTATTTCCCATCGGATATGTCTGGGATGAGATGGAGGGCGCCTACGACAGGTCCAGAACCAGCCGGTAATGCTAGCTCAGTTGGGACAATCTTTGGTTGACATTTGAAACAGCATCCCCCAGATTCAGGCTGTTTTCAACTATCTGGTGTCTCCGGTGCACCGCCGCTGCCTCGCCTTAACTCATGTCAATCACGGGATTGTCTGGTCCAGATTCGATTACGTACGCCGGATGTCGATATCGTCCCGGCTGAGTACGTCATTCAAATTACCATTAAAAATGATGAATTGTGTTCTTCCATGAGTTGTGATGCCACCTCACACCATTACACTTCCGCTCGCAAACTGATGTTATGCTGTTGTCCGAGCTGTGGCAGTTTGGTATTGATTCCGTATATAGATGCACGAACCGAATATGGTTTTCTTGTTGACGTGACGTCACACGTGGACTACCGGCTCGCGGCAAGTCATCTGTCATTCCCTGTCGCAGAAAGAGATGATATTGTATTTAGATGAAAATTAAAGTGACCGGCAACTTCATTTTGCGTCATTTCTGCATGTTTGCAGTATATTCGTGGCGTGTAGGCATTGGTTTTCTGCAAGCCGTGGCATTGCGTAAGAGTTATTTAAATTACGGTTAAACAAAAGTGTATTTTATGAGCGCCTGCCTGATAGCCAAACAATCATTGTGTTCTGTTCCCATTAACAAAAACACGTGTGAGAGTACCATGTACACAAACATCCAAATTGAGCGTCGTGCACGTGTTCCGACTGTGGTTACGTGGTGAATAGGAACACTGACATGTGTTTAATACTGCCCATGAGAAAAGAGTTCCCTAAATCTCCATTGGCAGACTCATACGCAGCGTGCCTCGTCGAGTGAATGAATTTTTAACAAATCGAGGCGGTATTAGATCTACGCTGCAAAACGTCAACATTGAAATTGGCGGCCATAACATCTTCTGTCATACTTCACTGCGAATTGTAATGTGTTCCCAATTCGTTCATTTTTATCATACAACTATTACTAGAATCTATCATTTCTTACAGTTTTAGGGGTAGCCTTGTGGTTAAAGCGTTCGCCCGTCACGCCGAAGACCCGGGTTCGATTCCCCACATTGGTACAATGTGTCAAGCCAATTTCTGGTGATGTTGTTGGAATATTGCTAAAGGGGAGTAAAGCCATACTCACTCACTCACCCAATGTTACAATTTTGGAAATTTTAAGTTATTTTCGAGTACACCCTACTTTTTTTTAACATTATGAATATAAACTACCGGACAAAAGAAAGTTTTCCCTTTAAAAATAGTTGTATAAAAAGGGAAAAAGGCAGGTTTGAAACCCCGCAGAAAACATTCGACCAAATGCAACATGACCACAACCACAACTCAGATTTTCAAACGCAGCTTTCCAAATCATGCATTGTTGAAAACATGCAAAACGTTATTTTGAGACATAGGTCCAAATGCACGTGTGTGATTGTGGCATAAATACCGACGTTGGACAGAGCAGGCATTCAGTGAGCAAAAAAAACCACCAAGAATATTCCCAGACTTACACAAGCGCAACGAGACAGAGCGATCGGTATGGCCAATATGGGGACTACTCAACGTCAGATAGCCAGAACCTTCAACTGCTCCCAGACCACCATCAGCAAGTTGATAATCCGCTACCAACAGACAGGACAGACTCAAGACCGGCCAAGATCGGGAAGACCGAGAGTGACAACACCGGCCGAAGACCGTTACAACCGGCAGATTCACCTCCGAAACAGATGTGTGACGGCGACGTCAACGGCGGCAACAGCACTAGGGCATGCCATCAGCAGACGAACAGTCCTGCTGGTATACGAGCCTACCGACCCTTCCGTAGAGTGGCCATGACCCGTCTACACCGTCAACGCAGACTGCAATGGGCACGAACTGTACGTCGGTGGCAGCAACGTGACTGGGCGAGAGTGCATGCTCTTTACAGATGAAAGTCGGTTCTGTCTGTTCAGGAACGATGGCAGAGTTCGATTTTTTCCACGCAGGGGAGAGCGACTGGCGCCAAACTGCATTAGAGAAGTTCACCCGTTTGGAGGTGGAGGCGTCATGGTATGAGGTGGCATTTGTGGCCAGATTACAACACGGCTGGTTATCATCCGAGGAAACCTGAATGCTCAGCGATACAGGGATGAAGTGTTGAGACCTGTTGTGGTGCCCTTTATTCAACATCAGCCAAGAGGATTAATTTTGCAACAAGACAACGCAAGGCCTCACACCGCCCGAATGGTTCAAGACTACCTGAACAACGTTAACGTCAACGTATTGCCCTGGCCACCTTGTTCTCAAGACATGAACCCCATTGCACATCTCTGGGATCATCAGCTGAGACAACATGTACCGCCTCCAGCGAACCGACAGGATTCCTGTTGACGTTATCCGCCGACTGACTACGTCAATGAGGAGGCGTGTACGTGTTGGCGTGCATGGATGCCCAGGGTGGTCACACTCGCTATTGATGACGTGTTACCTACTACTGTGTCATTAATGGACTCTTCGTGCACTTTTTCAATGAACTCTGATTTGTGTAATTTATAATTTGGACCCCTTGGCTCTTTCTTTGTGTATTGCGGAGAATGCAATATCGGCATTACAATGCATTTTCATTCTAATTCATGGAAAATGATTTCTGTTTATAAATTAATCATCATAAATCTCACATATGCCTTTG